CTCACATACATGAAGCGTGTATGGCAATTGTTCCAGCTTCTTAGTCGAGGCGATTTAGAAAGGTTATGTGGTATAACCTTTAAGCCTTCCCATATATTCGATAGGATGGATTATGTTATTTCTCCTGTATGTAGGGTTAGTGTTCACTCAAGAAAAGGTAATTCTAATATACTCACAACTGTAAGAAAATATGCCTGAAGAGTGCTACCCAAAATTTAAAGTTTTAAAAATAATCTCTAGCGTATCCCTACAAAGAAAAGGATGAAAGGGTTTTTTTAAAAAACGTCAGAAATGCTCAGAGCTCACTATTCCTATAAGAATAGTGTTCTCACTGGTTCATTTCAAAAAGTTAGAAATTCACAAGGCATTCGTTAGTGCATTTCCAAGATTCCAGTTTTAAGATTTCTCTACACACAAGTAGAGCATGTTCAACGCGGCCCACCCAGTTACCATGCTGCTTATCTAAGAAATATTTCTGAGCAATCTGGGAGATTTTTTAAAAAAAAAAAAAGTCAAATACATCAGAAGTCACCGACAAAAACACGCCCTCCAAATACACCTGTGAAAGCTGAAACTCCTGCTTAGGCTACTTCACTTTGTTCCTACAGGAAGAATTCAAGAGCCATGAACATATTTACAATAGAGATGGAATGAGGAAGTTTTTCCTTCAGAAAAGATTGCTGAAGCCTGCTACAGGAAATTATAAAAATCAAAGGATTATTCAGGAAGGAAAGATAGAGGAAGGACATGAAAGGAAGGAATCAATTTCAGTTTAAACACAGTTTTTTCTAGGTGTTCAATGGTTTGTTTTACAAAACAGCCAGATATTTATCTAAAAACATGTACACAACAGAACTGAAACCTCTGCAAAACAGTAATTCAAAACTTAACACTCCAAACACTTATGATGGTAAATATTCTATGTATGGGTTCAAAACTTTAGCTACCGGAGAAGATATCCAGTTCTATATACAAAGGTTCTCTCAATAAATAAGTGACAAAAGTAATTTTTTGCTAGTATTTTGTCCTAAAATTTGCAGTTTCGAAACTGTCAATATTAATTCTGAGATATCTTCACCAGACAATATTTCGGTTCAAACTAATTTAACATATATAAAAATCTGACAGACTTAACCTGCTCTCCAAAACCAGGTTCCATAGTCAATGGCATGACTACATTATCAAGAACTCATTCATACCCTTCTAACATGATGTAAGTAAGCACACAAAATTATGTCTGCTTTGTACAAAAAAGGCCACCAAAAAATAAATGGTGAGACACTTACAGCAGCAAGACACCTTGTCTAATATCAATCTACAGATTAAATAATTTACACTTTTTCTTCTTTAAACTTCTCTCCCGCAGCATATCCAGCTGCACCAGGTCTGAAGATACCAATTCCCTTACCCTGATTTTTGTGTGCATTTGTGAAGATTGAGGACAAACAGAAGACATTAATTTCTTAAAGCCCCCAACAATTGTGGCTGTTAAAAGAATGGTAAAGGGATTCGGAAGTAGCTCTAGCATCAAGTACTTCTATTGCTTTTGAAATCTGACTAAATTTTCAGTTGGTTAGACTGTCAGTTGACTCACCAAAACAGCAATGTTATGTTGCATGCCTTTAGTAAAACCTGAAATTAAATTGGTTTAAATAATATATCCTCTCAAATAGTTCTAAAATTAAGCTACTGTGAGAGGGAAAAAACCTCAGACTAAACAGATGCAATTTGGCTCTGAAAAGTGATTACATAAAAATGTCACATTATTCATAAAATCTGGAAGACTACACTACAGACTTGGGGAAGGCCAAGAGATGTTTAAAACAGACAGTGCAGGATGACTCATCCACTAGCAATTAAATCAAACACTGTATTTCCAAAAGAAGGCAGAACTGCATAATAATCAGCCAGAAAACTATGGAAAAATACCTCCACAAAAAGTTATAAGCAAAACATAAACATAAGCAAGCAGATAAATGCAAATTCTAGAAATCTTAAAAACAAAAGATGACAGGTGAACTGAAATTTCTGATTTTACAAACAATAGCAACCTCACAAAATCAGTAAAAAGACAGCCAGGGATCAACGCAACATCTGATTAGAAGAGGGTAACAGAGGGGGTCGTACAGATAAAGGACCTGTGTGAGGCATTATAGAAAGCTTAGAGTAAAATAAACTATGAATGACAACCAATGAATGATAACCTGTCCCAAATCATTAGAGCATTAGGGCTACATTGCCAATATGAATGGGACAGCAGAGAGATTTCCAAAGAAGAAAACAGTAATTACGAGAGATTGCAGTTACTTTGTAGGTTGGATACGTGTCAAGAAGAGAAATGATGCAGCGATTAATTCTTTAGCTATTATAAGCAATTGCTTCTTGGAGCAACTGGCCAAAGTAGTCACAAAAGGAAAAGCGTCTCTTGATTTAGTCCACAGTACCTACCTTAGGGAGGTAGCTGCTGAAGATCATTCTACAACAGGAATATCAACACACTCAAATTCAACTTTCTTGTAAACAAAAAAAAAAACAACCAACCAAAAACCTACAGCCAGGAAAAAATCCACCACTGTTTAGTTTCAGCAAGGGGAGCTACATAATAATGAAGATGCTATCAAAAGCTAATTAAAAGCAGCATCTAAAAGGGCAGAATGCAAGCATCATGAAAACTTTTAAAGATACTGAAAAAGAACACTACCTCACTGGAGACTTTAAAAAAAAATCTGGAACAGTTCTATAAAGCAAAAAAGGCTATTTGAAATAAAAAGTAAACTTCAGAACCAGAAAATGTGTCCAAAAGGAGAAACAGTAAATACTCCATAAATACAGTTAAGATTATTGCCATCTACATAAAATTTTAAGCATCTTGCTGAAGGAATCAATATTTTTTTCAAACACATCAAAAACAGAGGAAAGCTGCCAGAAAGCTGATAAGGATGATAGATTGTTTTTGCTGTGGCCTGATCTTCCTAGTGTTTTCCTTTTGCATCTTAAGCTATCTCTGCATCTTTGTTTACTACAGGGAACACTGGGAAAGTTCACACACAGGAGTTTTTCTCCGTGGAGAAGGGAGCTTGAGGAGCTGCCTCAGACTGAAGCAATTTTTGGAAAGAAACAATAAAATTGACATTTTGGGGTGCTCACACTTTTGTTACCATTCACTCAGGAGTTCTAAAGGAATTCAGATATTAAAAAGTCAGACACTGTATGGTATGCAAACTACTGTTGAAGTCAATTTTGTTTTTTAAACATTCTAGAAGAATTCAAGAGACTGCGGATAAATCTATACCAAGCAGACAGTGAAAATTTACAATAAAAAGAATTATCAGGCACGTTAGCAATTCAAGTATCGTACAGAAAAGGCAAAACAGCATTTGCAGAGGGGTATCATGCTTCCCTGATCAAAATTCTTTAAATGAACAGGCAAGTAGATAAGGAATGCCTGAGAGAACATATCTGAGTTTCCTAACAGCTTTTGAGAAGGTCTTCACAAAAGTTCTTTAAAAAACAAACAAACAAAAAACCCCCTCCCAACCAACCTGCAAACAATCAAAAAACCCTGAGCTCTTCTGGGATAAATCACAGCCCTGGATAACAAGTGATGTTTCCCCATCTACTTACTCTCACTGTTACTTGTACAAAAATATAAACATTAACATTCGATGATTTCTGTCCACGCTATCAAAAATGCTCCTGCAATCCTGCGCAAACAGAAATAAAGACTTGCTATTATGCTTGTTATATTCGTCAGGCTAGTCAAAGTAACTGCATGCTAGAGTCCATGAACAAACTTGATCACTTATTTCTTGCCTTTCTCCCCGTGTTAGGTTTTGCTTAAAATCATTACCTCATCTCACTATTATTACAAGGATACTACAATAAAACATTCAACTCTTTCCCTAGTATCTTTACAAGTTTCCCTTGGAAGACATGTAAAGATATGAATGCCATGAATGATTCGCTAAAGGAGGAAAAGCTACCCAGATGCCTTCAGTACAAACATTTCCGATGAGAACAACATTACTTTTACCAATTTATCAACCGTTCAGCAGTGAGATTGCTACAAATCTCGTAGACTTAAAAGAAGGAACGCTCATCTGCAGGTAGCATGCAGGTATGTGCCACGTACCTAGTAATTACCCCATAATTCATGAATGAATTTATTCTGCCACTAATGCCATGAGACCAGGTTGTGAAAATAAGCGCTATGTGAAATACTGTTAAAAATAAGACAATGAAAACTAGGACCTCATTTACCTCTAAATATTATTTTCCTGTGACAGTACTTAAAGAAGAAGTGAAGGCAAAGGATGCAATTTGACAATAACCTCAGGAAAACAGACATTTGCAATCTTTTAGAAATTGACCTACTGCTTCCTTGAGAAATTCAGTGCCAAGTATCACTGCAATAAAGAAAGCCTAACTGTCCAAAGAGAGCAAGCTGTCAGCTGCGCTTGCAACCATGTTCTGGATGGCACATAACCAAGCGCAGCTGAAGACATGGATTAAAGGAGCATGAAGGGACAAAAATATGAAGAAAAGCCTCCTCATGGCAACACTTCCTGGTTTTGTTCATTTTGGCATTTTCTCTTCTTACTTTGGTGTTTTCCACAGTTTAGCAGCCTTTGGACTTTCAATGTACACATGTTGCTACTTCTATCAGCTACTCTCCAGTTTTGCCCATTTCAAACCCACAGGTACTTTCATACAGCCCTCCAAATCGCAGGGCTCAAGCCAGCTTTAAGAAGAATTAAGTGATTACTTGGTATCTTTTAAATAGCTGAAGCAAGTATTTTGATTACATTTTAGGCTTACTGTAATAAGGTAAGAATGAACTCTTCTGTCACTGTGCCAACAGCCCTCCAAAGCCTACCTTCGCCTAGAACACTAAGCATAATTCCCCCAATCATCTGTAGTTAACAAGCTAGAGATACAGAAAACAGAAAATGCAGTTTATCATTTGGATCATAAAAATAGCTTGGTATCTAGAGCATTACCTTGCCTGTGCTTTGTAAGATTGTAGTTCTTGTCCTCCATACTCTCTCCCTGCTGACAATATCTCTGGTTACATCCACTTCAGCATCAACAAAACTTCTCTGTTTAAGAGCAGTTATGTCATCATCCAGATCAGTTTTGATAGTGGATCTTTTCTTTGCCATGATTTTTGCTTTGATAGCAGCAATTTTTTCCACTGACATGGCTTCAGACAAGGACCTAAATGAGCAAAAAATAACAGAAGAGACTGAATAATTGCACAAACAATTCTTCTGAAAGAATTTGTGAATGAGTAACTTTATCCTGCTTAAAGTTTATGGCTATGCTATAAATCATAAAATGGTCACCTTACATATACTTGAAGATTACATGAGCTTGGCATTGCTGTTTTGGACATGAGAACCAAACTTCTGACAAAAGAATCCATCCCAGTATTTAGCACAAAAACCATGAAAAAGTCCCAACTATAGCAAGCAGGAGTAAAGATTGCAAATGTAAAGCACCAGGACTAACACTTCCATTTACGACGTCATCTGAATTTCAGCTCCCCGTTATTTTTAGTGGATTACAATTTTGTGTCCAGTCAATCAATCCCTGGCTGCTCTGAGGCTTTCAAAGCATTAATCTAAATTTCAGCTGAGGTGCTGTTACGTGGACTTGGCCACTTGGAAGATGTGTTACCTTTTCAGAGTATATAGGCCAAACAAACAAAAGATGGTAGTAACTTTGTCCACATTTATCTGTGTTTGAGGTAGATCAGTTTAGTTGGAGAGTGCAACATCTTCATCTGTTTGCTTTTAATTGTAAACTTTAATTGCTTTTAATTTGGTTGCCAAACAGTGAGCCCTATTGTTTTGCAGGTGAGTTGAAGGAAAAAAAAAAAGGACCAAATTGCACAATCTTAACTGCACACACCCAATTCAATTTTATGTGATGATTTTTTTTTTTGAGATTACATTGAAAAATTAATACAACAAGTCCTGGTTGTGAAGTATTCTCCTTTTACAATTAAGCTATTGGAAAGGGAACTTTCTTGTGTTGCTGTTAAACAAAGTAACAACAGTGACAAGCAGAGAGTTCAAATTCACTGCCTGTAAATGTTATTTGTACTTTTAAAAGGGCAGTCTTTTACATTCAGCATTAAAAATTCTGTAAATACAGAATACAAACTAATTATGAATAAATATTCAGTAATGCTCATGGCAACATTGTCTCATAACTCCAAAACAGAAGTTGTGATACACTCAAGCTATTATCCAAATAATTAGTTTATACAAAACGTGTGTACTTTTTGATTTTTTGATCCTTAGACTTTCTGATTTTAAGTCACGTATGACAATCAGATTTCTTTTTTTTCTGTAGTTTTCTTTTAAGTATACTGATATGAGAGCAAGAGAAAGAAGATATTCAAAAGATGTATTATTCATGTGGTTAGGTGTAATTATGGATTCTATAAATGCCTCACTTGGCTATATTAATTGTTGCAAGGCTAACTGATAAATTTAATCCCAGTAAAGGGCAGACAAGCATTCACAGTATTGTTTATGCTCAAGAAATAAATTTCTCAAGAATGCAGTTGGTCTAGCAAGTAAAAGTACTTATTTGCAAAACCCAATGCAGACAAAGCAGTATGTTAATTCATACATACTCATACACCTTAACTGTAGGAAGCATAACTCCCACTTTACATTATGAGACCTGACACACTAAAGAAATTAAGCAGCTACCTTTATTTTAAGACTTCTGAACTCAGGTATTTGAAACTGAACTACTAGAGTCTGGTATCCTACTAAGCCCAAGATCTCAGCATCAACAAGGTCTTGCAATAATTTCATTTCTGCCTGGCTTTGGGAAGTTACGGTGTAACACTGAAAACCATCTGTCATTCTCTGTAAATTCTGGATGGATACAACAGAAAAGAAAAGGTGATGGGCAAGTTTTTAAGCACTTGAATACTGATTACTACTTATGGCAATGACAGTGCATTATCCTCTGGCAGTCTACTGCCTCTTCAGAGGCAACAAGCTCACCTTTGTAGGGAGTCAAACAGAGGTTGTGTTACCCTTTGATCTGTTCTCACAATGTTTTCCTCCTTTTGCATGCAAGACATTCCTCAATACAGGATATTTTTCTTTGAAATACAGACAGATAATCAGCTTCCCCTTGCAGTTCTGCTCATTGTATTTGACTGCCTAGATAAACACCATGGCAGAAGAAAGCAGAAATGGCAGACTTGGCGAGAGGAAGAGACAACCGTCTGCTCAATTCTCCAGACAAACCAAATCTCATGCCATGACATCTGAACTTCCACTCAAGAACAGGAGTCTGATCAGGCATGAAGTTCTGTCTCCTCAAGCATTACTGATGGTAGTACCTAAGGGAGGGAGACTTCCACTGAGAGCTGTTGGACAGAAGTAAAACTAGGTGTCTTGAATAGCACAAGAATTGTTATCAGTCCTTTAATTAAGCATTATCCATAAGAAAAAGAAGTATTCCTACCTGATCTGCTCCGTTTGCACGATACCTTCTTTATGTCCTTCCAACCGAGCTGCCAACCGCTCCTTGTCAAGGCGCACACACTCTTCATCCTAGCAGTAATAGTAATGTTTAATTGTAATGTTTAAATTTTTGTGCATTTTCTTTAATAAATACAACTAGAATTAAAGCTATTCAGATTTTTTTTTTGTTTTACATTTGCAAGGACAATCTTTACTTCTAAGTATTTTTGAACTGTGCATTAGTGTTAACTGTACAGCTATTGGAAATTTCCTCAGGAACCACAATATATAATTAGAATAATGAAAAGTTACTTACTATTCCCTTGTAAAGAGCCTTGCTCAGACAACAATTCAGAACAATAGAAAAATCAGAGAACTTAAAGCTGGCAAACAATGCACACATTTGGATAGGACAATACATATACACACATACATATTTAAGGTAAATTCATCGGACACTCAAATTTGCCAAGATACTTTTCTTTAAAAATGTCACTGATAAGAACTGCTCAGAACTGTTATATCTTGACACAGAACTTGTATAAATTGCATTCGTAGTAAATATAAAAACAAGTCAAGAGTAAGGAAGCCTCTAGTTACTCAAGCGAGGTTCGAGACAGATGTGTAATTTGAGAAAGCAGTAGAGATGTAATTTTATGCCAACTTTTCAGCTTCTTAATGCTGGTACCACTTGTGTTCAATCTGTCTTTTTTCCCCACAAAACTTAAATTAGCATCAAGCCTGTCCTATTGCTAAAAGGCTGTTTGGAAAGGCTGAAGCACAGCAAAACCAGTTGTGCCCATGTATCAAGAGAGACATGAAATCTCTACACCGAGACAATCCCTGAATAACTTAAAACAGACTTTACAGACTCTGAGCTGCCGGAACAGCAACAAAACAAACAAACAGAAGATGGCCATAAGCTCATTAGGCTCATATGCAGAATTCTTGATTCTCCAAATCATGACGGTGAAGATCTACAGTTTCAAAACATACTGGCATCACAACCACATAAGGTAATGTAGAACAAAAATCTACAGATCACCAATAGGTCATCTCACAGCAATCATCTGCTCATGTGCCATTAAGAACGCATAAAGTTTTTATGATTCTTATGCAGTTATAGCTAAGCACAACCAATGTTCAAATCCAGTTCTGGAATACAGGATTTTGTGTATTTTGATAACTTCTTCTAAGAAGAAATTGAAAGCCTCAGTACTCTGAAAATATATACAGCCAGATTTATAATAACTCACAGAGGAGACAACTGGATGAACATAGTTTAAGAAAAAAATAAAAATCAAGAAAACCAGTAAGTCAATTTTTAAAACCAGGCAGAGTTATGTAATACAATGTGTGTAATGAATAGAAGCAATGTGTCTAGTTAAGAGGTACTTGTGAAAATACACTGTTAAATTAATTACCTAAGACACAGCTTCAGAAAACAGTAATCACAGGGACAGTTTCATATACTGCTATAAATAGGCTAAAATAGCAGGTAAACAAGTAAGTACCCATTGATAGAGATAAAACTGGCATTTAAGTTATAATGCCAACTCATGGATGGCAAATAACCGTAATCAATCATTAAACAGCACTTTTATTCCAATCCCATAGCTCTTAGCAGACAGGTTATAATGCAACAGGTACTTAGAGATATGTGGTCAAGCTTTCCCCTTTCATACTACAACATACATCTAGCAACTAAAATTCCAAGTTTAAATCAGAGGCTTAAATTCTAACTCCTTCCAGTTCATGCTCACACTAACAGAAGTACTGTGTGCACCCAGAGGATAGGTAGCCCAACTGAATTGCTACAGAAACAGATAAATACTGTAATTTACCACCACTCCCAATTTGTATTGATGACAGTTACTGTCATTACCTCTATTCTTGGTTTCTTTGCTTCTGCTAATATTTCATCTGCTGCTCTTTTAACTACAAGAGAAAGAGGACATTAAAAATGCAAGATTGTAGTAGACTTTCATAAAATAAAACCTAAGTTATTTTTTAGTTAAACTGTACCTTGAGTGGACCGTTGAAGACCAATTTCAAGTGGAGCACTTCTGTCTATACTTGAGGAGGTTGCTGTAATCAAACACAACATTTCATTTAAGTGCAAAAGATTTGCAAAAGTATTTAAGTATAAAAGGAAGAAGGACAACAGATAAATTACAACAACGGAAATTCTAACTAGATATTAGGTAGCAAGGTGGTCAAACACTGGAACTGGAGATATTCAGAATCTGACTGAATATGAAGTTAGATCAGGTTGCTCAGGGTCATTTGGCCCTTCTTTGAAAAGGGGGTTGAACCAGATTACCTCCTGTGGTCCCTTCCAACATAAATTCGTCAGTGATTCTATGTTCTGTATATACCACATAAAAGAAAACAGAGTCACAAAGATAAGTGCTTTACAACCTGGAATCAAGATCTACTAGTTTGTCTAGTTTTCGGAATAAAGACAACCTGCTGGTCCCTTTAAAATATATATTAAAAATGGTTTACTGCTCATATTACAGAAATAATCTCATATTCCAGTATACTTAAAATTCTAAGACCACCTACAAAACAGAGCAACTCACAAAAAGTAAGCCATATTTATCTTTCTCTCATCAATAAAACCTCTTTTCTCTGACTATTGCTAACAAAAATTTTAAGATGATGGAATACCAGGCAAATCTGTCAGACTGACAAAGCAGTGATTTGATATATTCGATATTTACTATACTGAAGATTTTATCCCACACACTTACTGTATCAAGATCAATGCACTACTGAGTTTCCCACAATCTAGAGAAGGAAAAAATATAAACGCTAGGCATTCTAACACATAACTATTACTCAAAGGATGTTAATAATAACAAAAAAGTAGCTCACTCCTAAACAGGCATGTAGGAATGCAGCTCCTATCTAAGCACCATAAAAATAATTAAGTTCAGAACAAAATTAAAAAATAAAAGAAATCCTAACTTTGTTTGAGAAGTTTGAACATATTCAGTTAAGCTGCAAACCGAACATCGTTAACCATCTTTCCCCTCCTACCCCTCACTTGTCCCATAAATACCAAGCAGTAAAGTGCACTATGTGTCTAAGTTAAAAGAAAGCATCACTCACATGTTTCCCCATTTAGGTATGCAAGCAAGTCTTTCCTATCAGGTCTTCTTACCACAGGAATGTTTTCAGTCTGAAAATACAGCAGGACTTGACATTAAACTGTTATTCCCTCGGAAAGTCTCTTGCTGAAGATTTTTCACTTTTCTTGAAAACTACTCATTCACACAAAGACAGGAACACGTGTCCTGCCTCCCAAGAAAGCATAACTATCAAGCTTAAAAATACAATTACTTCCTAGAGGATGTTCAACTACACAAAATTAAACACGTTGTCTGCTATAAAACTGAAAGGGAGGATAGCCTTTTTCCTCCTTCAAACTTGCAAGTAAGATTAAGAACTAGTTTTTAACACACACACTTCTCTGCCAGGAGTCAATATTGGTACACAGAAATAGAGTATTTCAATTTTGTTGTTCCACGCAGGTACAACAGACAGCACTGCTGTATCAGGTAACCATGTGGCACAGGGGAAGATGAAGCATGGGCTCATAGAAAGCAATCAAATCGAAATCAAAAGTACCTTCTCTTTCAGAGTTCCCCTATCTTTATTTGTAGAGCTTATCCAATAATTTCTTTAATTAGATTGCATACGTCTGAGTCCACTCCAAAGCTATTCTGCTATACTTTTCTCTGTTTTGCAGATCCTTGCAATCTCATGCACTAAAGGATTATCTAGATTGGGATCGCACAACAGAGAACAGATGGACAAAAGTACTTTTGAAATAGTTAGTGCTGGAGACAACTGTGACCGTAGAATATCAGAAGAAATGCTGCCATTACTGTTAAAATTCGGGTGACAGACTCGTTGTAAATGCAACCTGGTGGTTTGAAGGGTGAATCTGTTCGGAAGTGAATTGTCTAGAAAAATACTCCACCTTGACAGGGACTGTCATTTGACCCCTACTTAGAGGTGTTCTTTTTTAAACACACACACACTTTGTTGCATATCTTTTTCCCTTTCCCCAGCCAAATTCATACACTTAAATGCTACTATTGTTCCCTGAAAATAACGATGCACATATTACTTATCACAAATGAGACAAAATAAAATTTTATATGGTCTACTTACTGCAGCACGGCGGACATAAACAGGATGTGAAAGGTGCACATTATTGAGCAGGAACAAGATAGAATCCAAAGTGTAGTATTCTCTGGGTTGGCCCTCCTTCCCTGTCCTGTAAAATCATGAAACAAAGATTTTAACAGTTAACCTCTCCATCTCTGTCTCATGCACACACTTTTTTAGCAAAGTTCTCTTTTCTTTCCAGATGACATTTCAAAAAGCAAGTGGTAATATTGTTATCAGGCAGTTGCCAAACTAATGAACTATCAATCGTGTCAACAAATACAAGTGAGGGGTATATGTTCTTGCAGCCTCTTTACTGAAGAAATTATAAAAACTGTCCAAAATAATCCAAAATAAGAGCTGGATCAGTTGTAAAATATACAAGAAGCAAGACTTGGGAAACCGTAAGAACACATTCTCCCACACCTCAAACACATTTATTCTGATTATCAAAGGAATCGTCTACCTTATTTGGGACAGCTAGAGGAACGTAACTGAACTGCAAATGAAAAAAATAGTATTATGTGGTCTTCAGGTATAACGGGACAGAATTTTCACCACTAGAGAAAGCACAGTGAAGAATTCGGGATACACAAATTCTGTGAAATCTAGAGAGCAAAAGATTCAAAATGGTGCTGAAAGGTCAAAGTAAGGAGTCACTAGAAATTAATTGCACACAAAACTAGCAAAACCAAGACGGGCCACAAAATCACAATGAACTCCCATACTGAAGCACCAAGTTTAATCTCAGCTTCAAAACAGCTTGTTTGAAAGGGATGCCTTTTAAGTCTAAAAAGGAATCTGTTCTGTGTAACAATTTGAAAAAAACAATCCCCCAAAACAAAGCCAAACAAAAACCGTAGTTTCATCTTGGCTCCATGTGCATCGAACATAATTCCCTCCTCACATGCATGTTCACCCCTTTATACTGTTACTAGAAGATTTTGTAGGGGAAGCAATGCCTGTCCCAGTTTCAAAACAAAACCTGCTCCCTAAATACTTCAACTGCTCTGAGAAATGGACTTTTCCGTCAGTTTCACAGCCCTCAGCGGGACCAGCGATTCCACTGCCCAGACCTGGGACCTGCCAGTCCCCAGCTCCAAGCAGGACAGGGCTCCTCCACACTGCCCAGCCCCCGTCACCAACCAGCCAAACCAGTCAGCTCACCTCAAAGCCCGAGGAGGATGACCCACCAGAAAACCAGGCCAAAACTGTAAAATTTAAGACGGGCACAGAATTTTGATCAAACCAGAGATTTCAGGAAGAAATACTTTCATTAAAACCGTAAGAAGGACTTTTCCCTCCAAGTATAGAGGCTTTACTCATGGCTCACCATCAGCATCAAAACACTCACTGAAGCGCCAACTTCACTGGGGGAAGGGAGAGGAAATAAAAAATACTCAACTATAGCTTTCTTAAACCAGAAGGAGTACACAATCATCTACTAAATGCAACGGAAGTATAAGTTTGTTTTCTCCATACTGTGGATATAAAGCCACTACTCCTTTTCTTGCAATTATTTTTCTGAAATTATCTAGATGGAAAGTGGCCAGTAACTTGTTCAGAACTCATTACTAGCAGTAAGGTTGAAAACATTACTTTCATAATGATGCCTGAGAAAACCAATATATCTTTATTTATACAGAGAAAAGTGATTCAAAACACCTGGAAAACGGTAGAATAAAGGATCTTTCTATCACTGTTTCTTCCTTCCAAAAACTTAGTCTGCATGGGTTGGAGGTGTGCATGTACGTTTTGTTGCTGAAGAGGAAAGGGAAGAGACAGTATCTTTCAACTGCTAAGAAGCCAAAAGTTGGCTTCACAATTACAGCCAACAGAACTGTTTCACTGCTATCTTTGATAAGGTGGTATCTAAACATATTCAGAGCACTGGTAGAAACAAAAGCTTCCTCCACATAGATTTGGCCCTGAAGTGAAGTCTATGTCACATGATACAGTTGTCACTTCATTTTAAAACAAACATTTTAGATTATCTCACTTTAGAATAACTCATTATTGCTTTGAAGTATGTAATATCCACTGAACATTATATAAAAAGTCCAACTGGTCATCTATTCAAGTTTTTATTTACACTATTTAGCAATAAATGGCATAATTTAGAAAACAAGTACTGAACAGTTACCTATTAATTTGAAAATACAGTATTACAAAGCAACATGCATTGCCAAAGCTGAGCAGGGCACAGCTGGTACTTCATCACTTAAACCACAGACACAAGAAATCCTCATGCCCATTATGGTTGTAAGAGGATGTTTTATTAGGAGGACAAGATATTGCACATTAAAGGGAAAGTGTCAGATGGACAAGGAGTTGCACTTGTATCCTCAAAGAGGACAGGTCCTACTCCCCACCTGTATGGACCAGTATCTCAGCTATCAGGAGTCAGTGTTCTTCTACTCAAGAGAGAAGATATAGAGGGTACACGCCACGGAGCACCCTATGGTTTTACCTGTGTGGCCCTGGAGAGGACATGAGGAAGTAGGGTGGAAAACCTACCTCGACCCAAGAGGCACAGGTGAGTTGCAAGGAAAAACAATCACAAAAGATGGTTCTTCCAGGATAATTAATTCTCCAGTTTCCAGTGGGCAGTTCCCCAGAGTAGAAGAGCTGATCCTACTTCTGATCTTAATGAAGGGACTTCTGATTTGTATTTACCAGAAGCGAGTAAAGAATACTATGACCAGGACTAGAGAGGCCCTGCCTCCAGCCAGATGGAGGAAAGGGACAATTGATGGATGTGATCAACAAAGTAACAGCCGTGTCTCCACCAACGAGCAAAAAGGAAACACAAGCTTTCTTAGGCATTGTGGGGTTTTGGAGAATGCATATTCCAAATTACAGTCTGATCGTAAGCCCTCTCTATCAAGTGACCTGGAAGAACGATTTCAAATGGGGCCCTGAGCAACGACAAGCCTTTGAACAAATTAAACAGGAGATAGTGCACGCAGTAGCCCTTGGGCCAGTCCAGGCAGGACAAGATGTAAAAAATGTGCTCTACACC